TATATATTATACAGTGGAATCCTGTTATAACAAGATGGAGGGGACCGGTGCCAAATGTCCGTTATAGCAGGATTCTCGTTATAGGGGATCCAGTAATAAATTCAAGGGAAATAGTAAAGTAGGCCTTATCTATGAGTCTAGTTTTTGGTTTATTTCTTTTTGCAATCTCCCCTGATGATTTGGTTCAACATGACCTTTAAAACTTACTTGATCAGAAGTTGAATCAGGTTTCTTTCTCTAGCTCTAGCGATGTTGACAGCTCGGCGTAGGCGATCAGAAAGAAAGTTCTCTAGGCTAACTCGCCGGTGTGTTGTCCCCCACCTCACCACACCCTGTGGTGCGTTCCGTCTGCTTGTGCACAACGGGAACATACCACACCCCGCCCACGTCACACATTTGCTCCGTCCATCACAGTAAAGCACTATGACCTCTCCATCCTCGCATCGGAGAAGAGAGAGGCATGGTAGGCCTAGATAATCTAGACTAGGCTGGCCTATAACACGATGCGTTCTGCTTGTCTGTGCATGCCACACTCTCCCCACCCCATTCAATCCAGCCTTCATTGTTGGCATACGTGGGCTCTCCCATTCTTTGTTTCGCAAGATAACCAACAAGTAAGTTTCTCAACTGGCGAGGTTTTACATGAATAAATGGCTTATGCGCTGTGCACAGCAGCAGCAATATTCCGCTATAACCGACTCGCAAGTTTGTCTGCTTGCGTTATAGCAGTATTTTATTTACAAAGATAAAGAAGTGAAAAAACGGGGATTTAGAAAAGTCTTTATAACAGAATTCTCGTTATTTCAGGACTCGTTATAAGTGGATTCCACTGTATATAAGTGCTGAAGATATGAGGTGTTACTGAAGAGTAACATACAAAGAAAAGGAGGAGAAATGTGATGCATCGTGGTGAGATCCGGCACTCCTCAAAATAATGAAGTTGAAGAAATGCATTTTTCTGCTGGTTTGGCAATTTTTATTGAATTTTTGGTTAATGACCCAACAACTTTTATTTATGTTCATTTAAAAAACTCATTTCTGGGTAGATTTCATTTAAAAAAAAAAAAAAATTAAAGGCACACAAAATTTAAATTTTCAGTTTCCATGGACTCTCAAGCTATGACAATACTCAATGTAGAGGGGTCAGAAAGACAGACTCATTGAAAAGATATGCACCATAAAATTTCGGGAACAGATAGCCTAAGATGAAACTGTTGATGATAGTCATAGAGATGATGGCCAAGTCATGTGGCTTTCCACCCCCGACCGTAAATTCATGGACGATATCAGAATCATAGATCTTTACATTCACACTAGAGAAACATTTCTCTTGTGATTCAATTAATAAGTACATCATAAGTTCTTTGACTTCAGTTGATTAGGCTTACTTGACTAATCTTTAATCCTATAGAGGCTATCGAGTGTTTTACAGCATTCACGTGTGTTGCACATCACAGGCCTAGATCTAACTAAACATTAAATGCAGTCACCCAAACACTAGTCAGAAACCTTTTCTCAAAGATGCATTTCCAGTGACCAATTAAAAAACATTTCAATCCCCCAACCCCCCAATATTTCACCGACCAGTCCTAGACCTATGTGTCTGGAAAGTTGGGTGTGAAAACGTTGTCCATCACTTTCTTTGTTCAGCGTAAGGGGCAGTCTCACCAAATATCTGGTTTTCTAGGCTTGTCTTAAGCAAGCTGTGCAGGTTGTAGTGAAAAGTTCCCTTTGTCAAGCTTTACTTGTTGGCGCATTTCGCAGATCGGAAAGTGCGTTTAGAGGGAGTGACCATGCATTTGTACGTCTATATCATATTGAAGAAAAAAACGTCATATGACGAAAGAAAGAGTGTGTTTGAGCAGAGCGTGCTTTTGTATGGTGTGCGTTTAGGCGGAGACTACTGTACCCCTAATAAAGCTCCCACATAGACACTGTATTGCTTCATGTTTTTCATGGACCAGCTTAACAAAATGTTCAATAAAACAGTTTTCTACATGACTCCTGAGCAACAAAAACAACAAAAAGAAATACTCACGCTGAAAGCAGCTTCTTTAGCACTGGAGGCTCGGGAGCTACTTCTATCCCCACTGTGCTCACTGGAAGACTCCGAGATCTCCTTCACAACCGTGAACCGGAACGAGAGCGAATCAACGGAAATGGACATTTTCCTGGCATGGTTCTGAAGAATGGCAGTCAGGAAACCTGTTGACAATAGAAATTGAGAAATAAAATAAACATCCATCAAAGTTAAATTTTAAAGAGCTATGACTCAAAGAGTCTTTCTCAACGCCATTATTGGTGAGAAGTGAACCATTATGTCACGCAAAAAGGTTTTCAAGAGTAGAATACCAACTGGTGGGATTCAAGTTTAGTTCAAGATAATTGTCTCGATTGTTGGAAAATATGTGTGCGTCATCACAGTGCAATCAGGCACTCATCAAAATAACGAAAAATTAAAGAAACATTTTTTCTGCCCATCATCAGGCAATTTACATCAAATTTTTTTGTTTTGGGCTCAACACCTTTCATGAACATGTAAAAATGCATTGCAGCATGGACTTTACTGGAAAAATGTTGATCAAAGTGTTCAAAGGCACAAAAAAACGTGCATTTGTAATTTCTAAGGACACTTTTGGAAGTCACCAAACTTTAACGCTCATTTTGTCACCTATGATACTTCTGACACCTGGTAACCCCATCTTCTTCAACTGCAAATATCTCAACTTCTATTCAAGACAGATGAGTATTTTTTTTTCATCAAAAGCAAGACCAATAATGATCAGGCCTAAACATTATACTTATACCTCCATTTGCCCAAAAATGATAAGCGCCGACTCCACTGTGTTGTTACTTTTTTTTTTTTCAGAAATAGATGCAAAGGTTGAAAATAAAAAATAGGCAAATGTAGCCCAGTAACTTTACTCCTTATCTCCAGAAAACCACTCACAGCGGCTAACGGTAGGTACAGCTGTGCTGGTGAGCTGCAGTAAGCGAATTTTTACCGTAAACTCCACATTTAAGGAACCCTTCACTCACCTTGTGGGAAGAAGAAAGCTGGTAACCAGAAGCTGGTCGGGGTAGTGACAGGCGGACCATCCCATTCACCCTCAACTTCTTTCAAGTTGCGCACAATCTGGCGGAACTTCCTCTCAATGGTGGAAGACAGCAGCTTGGCCCAGTTGTAGAAGAACTTGACTCTGTTCTGCAAGTCTGTCACCCATGAAGCCAAAGGCTTGGTAGATTCATAGGCAGCATTCTGAGGAAGTCAAATTAAAAGGCTAAGATGAATATTGCTCAGAAGAGACTATAAGTAAATAATCTTGCTCAGGAGATATTATGATACATTTTTTTTTCTTCACATTCTGACCTCTTACTCTTATTGTATAGGTGGGTTCAGACCATGACTAAAGACAGTTGGGTTTAGCTCGCCTTAGAAACATGTTCACGTTTATCCCCCCCCCATCCCTCCAATGATATTATCCATCAACTGTATTAAGTGCTCTGAATGTCTGCCTAGACAAAAAGAAGGTAAAAAATAACAGAGACAAATTTTTCATTTTTTGGGGCTCTGGGACTTCATGACACTATGGTTTATAATAGAATAACATTTTAAAGGGAGAAAGACGGCAGGGTCCATATATTGAAATGAACAAGTTTATAAGTTATTATAAGCCTATTTTCAAGATATATAAATAAATGAGGTTCCAAATTTTAAAACTAAAATTCTAAAGATATGACCCTGTCATTTCCCCCGTGTAGACTTTGTCTGTCCCCGCGGTTTTATGCAAACAAAATTCTGAAATTATGCAAACTGAGCCCAAAAATGTGAAATTATGCGATTCTGCTAATTTTAACAAAGAACGATAAAGGTAGGCCTACATAATCAGAAATTATGCAAAAATTGATCAAATTTTGCTAAATTATGCGGGGTGCATAAAACCCTGGGGACAGCTTTGTGTAGGTACAAACCTTCCACTGCGACGGCACGTGCTGGGTCAGGATAGCCTGGTAGGCCTCCTCCAATGGCTCAGACATGACGATCTCCCCCTTCACGGCCAGACTCAGCAAGTTCAGGGAGCTGTGGATGATGCCCAGCAGCTGGTTGAACCGGTCAATCTCCTGTCTGAGAACGGTCAGCAGGGCCGAGTTGCCGGTCAGCTCCGACGTAAGGTTTTCCAGGACTGTGGAGGAAATTGGAAAGACAAAATAACCGTGTGAAACCCCCAGTCTAGGTAGGAACAAATGTGAATCTGTGTTAAATCACATCGGATAAATAAAATAACCTTGTTAAATCCCAATCTAAATGGGAATACGATATATGTGAATCTGTGTTAAATCACATCGCAAATCAATTGGAAAAATAAAGCAACCTTGTGAAACCCCAATCTAGGCGGGAATATATGTGAACCTGTGTTAAACGACGTAGGAAATCGATCGGAAAAATAAAATATCCTTGTGAAACCCCAGTCTAGTTAGGAATAAATATATATCTGTATTAAATCACTGTTCAAGTAAATCAGCATCTTGACCTTGAAGCTTGTATGTAACCAGAACAAAACTTTTGTGACTAGTAGTTTATTGATTTCCATATACTGACCTCAACACTCATGGGGATGATATAGCGGGTCGAAAAACCAGTCCTGAGTGCCACTGAATGCAGAAAACACAAGGGTGGTGTCTCTTGTCTTTCATTTAATGAAATCAACTCTACACTGACCAGAGTGCCCTGAGTTTGAACTAGGAGGGAATAGTTTATAACTGTGTCACTCCAGTGGATGAGGGCAGGCCTGTTCTTTCTGGGCTTTGAAATACACGTACATTTTGTTCTCTAGACTTCAAAGTTCACAATTCACATACAAAATAACTGGGTTACGGATCATACCTACCTCAGCTGAGGGATGTGAAAAGATCTGAGAAAAAAAACCCACTGGGCATTATTAAACTAAATTATATAAAATGAGAGATCTGAACACTCTGAGTTTTTGTTTGTTTAGTATAAGGTTTTACGGCCCTCGCAACTGCATATGGTCATATGAGCGCGCGAAACACGAGTTAGTTTTGTTCACAACAGTAAACTCTGAGTTGAGTAACACCCAAGACGCATCATACATAAGACCCGCACAAGACTAACTTTTTATTTTCTCTTTATCCAAGCCTCTGGTTTCCACATCCTTTTGTAAAATAGCCTTCAGAGATCTCTGTGGTTCCAAAAGTGCTGGGTCCGGGGACTCCGAGTCATCCTCCACACAACGTGGCAGTTTCACAGCGATGTCTGACGCAATGTCTAGCACCACGGCATCGCTGCTTTTCTGTGACCTGTGAAGCCGAACAGCATAAATGCGTACATGTAACAGTTTTAAAAAACAAGCCAAGTTCAGTTGGAATGAGTCAAGTATTCCTCTTTTCATAATATGCGCGCATATTATCTATGTACAGTGGTGTGCAGTTCAAAATTACAATGCATAACATGAGGGTTGGAGTCAAGAATAGGTCAAGGCCAAAAAAAAATGCAAGGTCACATTATCATAATCGTAGTTCATGGGAGTTTTCATGCCAAGAGAAAAAATGTTTATGTCTCCAACTGTTGTACTGATAATGACCAGTTTCCCAGCTGCACATTGTCCTGCTGCAGACAAAGATGAGCATTTCCTGCCATGAGCCAGATATTCCTATGTAGTCATGTGGACCATTGTCTATTTGCCTGTTGGCAGCCACAGAAATTTAACCCCTGCCATGGCATCTGTGAGACTTGGAACAGTACTGATGCTACATGCTGGACGAGAGACAACTAACTGAGACTGTATGCTCAGATTCTCGACTCACACCTCTGGATTCAATTGAGGAATTTTCAAATTCCGTAGAGGCTTCAAATAAAAATGACAGAAGATGAGAAAAAGAATGAAGGGAATAACAGGAGGACATATCAAGCAGAGTTTTGAAAGGACAAGACCACAATGACTAAAAAGAAAAAATGATAAACAAAATTTTCATTTGCAGAAAAGAAAGATTTCGAAACAGCTCATTAATACTAGTAGCCTACTAACTACTCCCAGTTTGTTAAAATTAGAGCTCTGACTCACCCTGTGAGACCTGTCGTCATTCTGGGCTGCATGCAGATCACTGTCTCCACAATGTTGTTGGCCTGAAACTCTCTGCACGCCTTCTCAGCATTCTCCGTCATGCCAAAGATGTCTGGGGTGTCATAATCTGGCAGCTCTTCCACGAAGGAGATCACAGAGTTGAAATTCAAAGTTTCAGGGACTGGTTGATACATCTGACAAAAAGAGACACAATTAATACCCACTTGAAAAGAACAAAATAAAAAATACAAACAATTTGAAACTTTTTTAATTTGTAAAAGAAAATGTCATAACACTACCTTAGAATTACAAAGTTTTATCTGACATTTTCGGCTGTTTTTATTCGAGTTACTAAGACCATGAGGTCAGAAACCAAATGTTCTACCTGCTCTATCAAAATCGTAAAATTATTCCAAGTCATTATCAAGATATATATTCAAACAATTGCAAGCAAAAAAGACTGGCATGTTGTGAAACTCAAAATTTTTCATGCCAAATTTCTCAAAACTGGGTACTGGGCAGATAGAACTTTGTAATTCTAGGGTAGCAATAAGTAAAAAATGATCAAATTAAGACAGCTGAGCTCGCTGAAAAAAAGTAAAGAAACAAAGAAAATAAGTCCTAATAAAATCTATGTCCTTTTGAGGCACTGTTGTCATCTGCTAAAACTGGATGGGCAAACTGAAATAAGATTTTGCTGGGAATATTTCAATTTAATTCTCAACATCTTTTTTTTACTGGCATCATAATGCATTCTAATGAGGGAAGAAACACTTACGTGATTTGAGTCATATGAGAAGTCTGCCTGGAACAGGCCTGGGCAGTAAAACTTGTTCAGGAGGGAGATGAGACAACGGCGATCTAGGTCATCCGTGACACGACCACCATAAGTGACCTGTCCAGTGAGATAATTGAGTGCTGCCCAAGGCACATCCTCCTGTTCATCCACTTCCAGCAACATCTGCAGCTTCAAAATAGCTACCTGTGTTGACAAAGTACAGAAACTGAGGTACAGAAAAGTGGGAAGACATAGAATAACATTAGGAGGCTAGTGGGGTCCCTTAATGACGAAAATGAGGTGTATGCTGCACTTTATGTTAGAGACATACTTTAAGGTGCATATGTCTCCTAAGACAATTACCTTTCAAAAAAGCAAGGGATCCACGATGATCCTTGACATGAAGTGGGTGTGGCCAGCGGTCAAAGTAGGTCACTATAACTTTTCTCAGTCTACTCACTAGACCACCACATTACATTGTCAACAAATATCCAGACACAATAAGAAAACTCAAAATGTAAGATTTCTGTCTATCAATCACGAATAATGAGAGAGCACGGGATAGGGAGAGGTAGAAAGTGTTGGTTCGTGGCCTATACCCTGGCCCAGGGTGAGAAAAGCAATGATGATTGACAAAGTAGGAGGAGTTACCTTCAACTGTTCAAATACAACAACCCAGTTTTTCCATCTATGCACTTGTATAATCTTTACTAGAATAGAATTTAAAATGTTTCAAGACTTGACAGAAATACACGCCAATTTTTTTAACACCTATGGGGCAGGCCTCACACTTGACTTTTAGTTCAGACTCAGTTCCTAACTGAGGTAAAAGGTTAGATCTGAATCTCCTTATACTTATAGAGTAACTGGTTGCAGATATGCATAACTTTCTTATCTGGAGATTCACAATCCAAATAATCAGAACTATTGTCCAAGTCACCTACCTCTTCATCATTGTGTACATCTATACAGATTTTGCTGAGCACCTCAGGGTTGGTGAAATACCCTTTTGAACATATTTTATCGCTTTCCACATGATAAAAAATTGCCAGGAATCAGAAGCAAAACATCAAAACAGAATTAATCAATGGGTCAACAAAAACATGGACGTGTTTGGAGAGACTGACTGGCCTTTGATTAGATCTTAGTCACTTTGCTCTCCAGTAAACTCATCCGTAGTCACACAGGAAAGCAGTCCGGCTTTGCGAATATTCTCATCCGGGGTGCAATGAGTACTAAAACCAACTCAGAAAGATTATTAAAGACAGCTAGTGGCTAGTGCTCATCTGCCACAATAAAAACACATTTCTATGTAGTCAAGATCCCAACACTGCTTAGAGAGAAACTACATAATACCTCAAGATCAGAGTCGTTGAACTCGTAAGGAATATTCCATCCAAGGGTCCCGTATCTCTTCCTCTCATGGATGACACTGTTAAACAGGCACAGGCCATAGAGCAGTGGTCGCCAGCCAGGCTTGCTAGAGCCTTCATCATAGAGCTTCTCCGTGACCACACCAGCTCCTGAACTGCCGAATGTGCGGAGGAGATTTGCCTTCAGGCCTTGAGGAGACTCAACAGTCATCTGAAACATTGTACAGAGCCAAGGCAAAATTAATAGTAATAAAAAATAAATTACATTAATTCATATAGCCAATTTCCACAAGGGAAGTGCTCAATGTACTTCAGAATATTATTACAAAGAACATAGTTTAACAAGTGATCCTGTCACTCGTTCCAACCCCCCCCCCCCCTCCCCATCCCCCGCTCCCTCTCTCTCTCTCACTCTCTCTAGATTCACATCATCTCCGTCGTTCAGTATGTCAAGGGTAAAACTGGCCCAAGCTGAGCATGCATTCAGACCCATAGGTTTAAATATCAGGTTTCTCTGTCCTCTACATGAGAAACTTCTGGTACATTACCCAAATTAGAAAAATTGATCAAATTTTTAAAATGAATTTGATGAGGGTAGAACTTGTAACAATCTTTAGAAATGATCTGTATTCCAACAGACCACTGAATGTTTCCAGGTCCCCCCCAAAAAATGGTCAATCCAACAAGCAAATGCACCACCTAAAAAAAAAAAATGTTAAGCCCATCAAACAAAATGCATGCAACATAAAACACTTCAATAAATTAATAGTTTGTGATTAATACATTTGAGTAACATTGATACAAAATTCTTTCAGGTTCATCAAAGTCCCATCTGACGATCAAGGAAAATTGAAAGCTTTTTTAACTTACTTCTTAAAAAATGAAAAAAAAATGTGAACAATTTTAATCTGTCTCAACAGGAATTCAGGTCTACATGGTCATCACACTTGGGCTGCTCACCTTGATTCCAGTCTGGAGGATGGAGACAGGGAAGGAGGGATCGGGCCGAGAGCTCAGCCACAGTCTGAACTGTGGGTCCAGATTCTCTTCATTGGGCTGGTTAAATCTGTTCCAAGCAAAGATTTAATTCTCAAATTATATCTTGATCTTGACGATCAATGATTTATTATTATAGGCACCAGCCATCAATGTCCAGGTGCTGTTTTAGCCTATATTTTGATCTTTTTTTCTCCAAATTTAAATAAAATAACAAAATTCCATATTAAGGAAAAGCTTGCTGGTGTAGACCATCATCATTCCCCGATCCCAAAAATGACATTCTGTAGACTTGCACCGCATCTTCAGAATCTGAGCTTTTCAGTTGGCCCAATGTAAGATACAACATTTAACATGCCTTCATTTCCCTTCTGGTTGATCATGGAACTTTTTTCAAGCAACTTTTTCAATCTCAGAAGACTAGGAATTATGTTTTTCTTTCTTGATGCATCGTAAAATGGAGCAAAAATCTTTTGGATGGTACAATGCTAAAATACTATTAACTGCTATTCACTATTTTGATTGTTTAAAAGATTTGGCAGTTGCCATTTTTTTAAGGTTAAAAATACAAGATTTAAGCTCTGAATTAAACTTAAATACAAAAAAATGCATAAAAACCTGACCCAGCCACACTCACTTCTCTACAATGCTCTGAAGTTTGGGCATCCAAGAGGCAGCCAGGTGACAATTCTGCAAGAACACCCATCGTCCCTTGAGGATCTGTGCCTTGGATATGAGCTCTTCAGCCTTGGGACCCTGACCTCTACCCAGAGAAATCATATCCAGGTGAAGGGTACTGCCCCTTAGTTCTTTGGCAAATCGAAGCAGCTGACTGGATGGGTCACAACCTGGAAAAGGGGCAACACAAGAAAAGGGTTAGAGCAAAAAATTGCTTCAACTAGAGTCTAGAGCATAAAGAATTTCAGACTTGCCATGTTTGGAATTTAGTGTGTAAACTGTTGTACTCTTGTTACAATTGGAGTCTAGATTGTAAAATATATTGTTGACTTGCTTTACATGAAGCATGGAGTATGAAGTGTGTTAATGTTAGAGCATTGTTGAGTTTGGTTTCACTGCTGCAATTTAGCATGATGAGAGCCATGTTTTGAAAGTCAATGTCTGTATGTAGAGAGTAAATGTCAGAGGGAAGAGATGTCATGGGTTGCATTAGAAATTCATTGAACACTTGTACACAGTACTAATGAGAAGTCATAAATATGTAAAGGTTCTTCAAATTTGTAAGTGTGCTGCAAATTGAACAGTCAGAGAAATATAGAGGGTCAAGATCAGTGGGTATTGTGTACACTGTTTTGAGCAGAGGGAGCAGGTAAAGAGTATGTTTGTAGAGTGCGCTAGGTGCCATCAGTTTCATGCATAGTACATTCCGAGTTTTGTCAATATGCATGATATGTTGTATTTTGCGATGGGAAAAAATCTAGTTAGAAAATATCTGTGTGTTCAACGATATTGGTGTGTTGAGTTCTTTCGAGTCAGAGTGCCTACTATGAGATCAATGGGGAAGGACAAAAGTGTGCAAAAAGAGTACTCAAAGTGTTTTACCAAGTATACATTCAAAGGCACCATGTATGTTATGCTCAACTGGTGTCTATGTTGTAGAGTACTGTGCTTCAGGTGCCCACTTTCTGCACCTACAGGAAACTCCTTTCTAAACATATATTTTGTTGAAGAACGTAAAAGCTTTTTAAAAAAATCCATATCAGTTTTTCTAGAGTGAAAATGTGAAATGGAAGAGGTTAACATCCCTATTAACACTATTTGGTTATTTAAGAGGCGGGACTTCCAAGTTTAATATCTATCTCCATTAGGACTGAGCCAAACAAAAAATTCAAGTAAAGTGTCTTTCCCAAGGACACAAAGTTAACTGAGCTGAAGCTTGAGTCCCTGAATCTGCAATCTCACGATTATGGGTCCGGCAGCTTAATTGCTAGGTTACCAATCCAACTTTTTCAAGAGTTTTGGCAAATGAAAGTACAATACAATAAAAGAAACCCCATATTAGGAATGAGCAAAACCAAAATCTATAAATATTTCATAAATATAAATCAACAATAGAGAAAAGTATATCAATTGTGCAAACTTCTACTTTGAAGAATCATTGTATATGACACTTAGCCAACTGTAGGGTACTCACATTCACAAAGTTTTGCGTGAAATAACAAGATTCATTAAGTCATATCTGTTGAATTTTCTTTTTGAACAATACTGGACTATTGATCAATCAAAAAAAAAATGTTGCTCTTATCATTGTAGAATTTGCTTGTTCATCTGTCTAAAAAATAAATAAAAATAATACAGGACTGAAAGACAGATGCAGCTATTTAACAATATATAAGCCTCAATATCAAAAGCAAAAAAAAATACAATTGATGATAGACTATGTTGCATTACAGCCAAAAGCAGCAAACAGTTTCAACATTTATCTTACACATGAAATACAAAACATTTTATTTTAAAAGTAATATATAATATATTATGTAGAGTGCATGTTCCAGCTCAACAGCAAGCTTTATGCACATTATAATCTATATTATTACCCAAGCAAATTTTATAGCATTTTGAAATTATCTCAACTTTGTGAGAAGCAGTAAGTGCAAAAAAAGATAATAATGAAAAAGAATGTGACTCAGGAAACATAAAAAAGAAGGTGCAGAGTAGCAGAAATTGTAAACACAAGGTTTTATTTCTCTTTGTGTACAATATGCGCATGTGCTTTTCTCCCAATTAAGAAAGGAAATAACACATTGTAGAGTCCCAAAGGAAGCCATATTTCTTATTGTTATGTTTCAGTTATACATGATGTGCAATTCTCATCTACAAACAAGGCTGGAAACACATAACAAGTGAAAAAAAGCAAGCTCATAGGAACAAAATATGAGGCAAAACATGAAAACACTGACGCAGTAAAACAATTGCAAAACTGAAAAAAGGGAGTGTAAAAGTAAAAAAAGACTTCATTTATAACTACTCGTAAGTGGTCTTATTTCCAAATCATTCAGTAAAGCCAATAGTAATGCAGACAGAATGATACCTACCAAACGAAATTTAAAAATTAAATGATTCTAGCTGGGAAATTCCAAGTCATACGTCCAATCCAAAAATGACACTAACATTTTGTAAAGGAGCATCAAAAGGTTAGGCGCATGAAGTAAAAACCAATTCCAAATAAAATTAAATGAAAGCTGCAAAGATAAAGTTTGAAAGACTGACCGACAGTGATAATGGATAATACAGTGAGTGAGCTCATAGACATAAAACAGGAGCCAATACATTACCTTCTCCTTCAAAAACAAGGAAATTAAAAATGGAGGAAAATTATTAGTAGTGTTGAAGGTTTACAGACAAAGCGTGTTCACAATTTGTGTCACAGCACTATGTAATCAGGCACTCGTCCAATTTTGGGCATATGGAGTTGTTGGTATCATCTTAAAGCTTATCTTGGAAACTGCAAATTTACATTTTTGTGCCCTTTAATCAACAGCATTCAGTAGAATCCACACAGAAATGTGTTTTTAAATGGGAATAAACGGGGTTGAGCTAAAAAATACAAATTCCATAAAATTGCCAAAAAGGTGGGAAAATGCAGGCTTCTTCCATTTGAATTCTTCCTCCTTCTCGATTTGAATAATTTCATTATTTTGACGAACGCCTGATTTCACCAAAACGTAACACATTTGATCTGAATTCATCTACAAATCCACACAAAAATTTAGGACCAAGTAGATCAGTTCAGCTGCATTTCTGCGTCATATCAAATCCATCACATATATAGTTTTGCTAGGTAACAGCAATCATCAAAGTCTCAGTACTCAGAGCCACAGGTCTAATTCTAACCACTGCGATAAATAAACAAACAGCAACAATTAGTTTTATGTTCTCTTTTTCGGCAACCAGCATCACATCTATAAAAGACAATAAAGATTGAATACAAATAGAATTACTTTGCAGTGCAAAATATTTGCAGCATGTCAAATATTAGAGTAGTTAGAGAGAGCCGAGAGTAATAGCATCGTTAGTAGGTTCACTCGACATGCAGTGAGGTGAAAATCTTCAGGTCCATAATTATGTTAAAAATACCCAAAGGAATTTAAAGACAAGGCAAAATCATTTATCTGCTGACAATTCAGCTATTGCAAACTCCTTAAATGTCAACAGATAGAATTTCAAAATGCCTGCAAAGCTGGATATGGAATGCAGTGCTCATTTTACCCATTGACCGAAACACTTAAAAAGGCTTCTAGAGTTGCAGAAAAAAAGTTCTTCAAAGACAAGAACAAAAATAAGATCCTTTTCCTTATGTATTTGATCCTATATTTATGAATTTCTTGTTCTTAGGGAGAGAGAATGTGACAGAGGATCATCTGTAGCCAGCCTTCCCAACTCAGAGCAAAACTATAAAACGTAATTATCAGCCTTAAAACAAGGCAGCTGATATGAAACTAGGTGAATCAACTGTTTCCAGTTGTCAGTATTGATCATTGACCATGACTTCAATAGATCAAATCCACAAAGTGCAGAAAAAGGTATAAACTCAAACAGGTGTTAAGATTAACAATCAAGCTTATGGAAAATTAGTTGTGCATCATCACTCACATCACCCATGATATCAAAATATGAAATGTAATATATAAAAATGTGTTCTGCACAATAAGTTATTATTTCACACACATGCAACAGCAGCGTAATACCACTTCAAACTTATAACTTATGTAACACAAAGTAAGACGAGATTAATTAGCACAATCCCAGAACAAAATAGCATCCATGACCTACCTGGAGACAGTATGAAGATAAGAGGAGCCTTGGCCATGGACTCACGATAGATCTCCTTCAGGTCAAAAGTTCCTGTTGACAGGTATCTGGCACCAAGCTGATCTCGAATGAATTGAGAAACAGCAGAAGGTGTGACCTCAAGACGCAATGTCTTAATCAATATCAACCTTTGGAATTTTGTCAGTCCTTCCCATGGAAATATTGGTGATGATTTGTCAGCATCTGGACCTGAAATATATATAATAAATCATACTCCAATAAAAGCTGATCTACTGATAAAGTTTTATCCAAACCTGTAGTTGCACTAATGAAAAATATATGGTAAAGCATTATCAAAACCACAAATGGTACTTATAAATAATTTATTTGCAATATGGTGATACTCTATGAAGGTATAGACAAAACTCCATTTTAAATGTTGAGAGATGCTTCATTTGTCTTGTGGTCTTCTTGGATATGGTAAAGCAAAGATTGCGTTTGAAATTTGTCCTTAAAAAGAAAAATACGACTTGCTATGAGACATTAACTTGTAGGCAATCATTAAATTTTACATGCTTGTATCAATAAACCTTGTAAACAGATTTTACAATTTAATATGCCAATATTAATTCTTTTAGGTGGCTCTGGTGTGATATGCTCCTTCTTTCCTATCAAACATCTGTCGTCCTTATCTCTCCTCCTTCTATATTGTGTTTGTTACTCTCTTGTTACACCTCTAATCTTCGCCACTTATATGACCTTATTGTGTAGCAAGTGCAGTAAAACTTGTACTAAAACAAATTCTTTTAGACATCGAAAATGTAAAACCAATAAATCAAAGGAGCAATACCATCAATATCAAAAGAAAAACAAACCATGTACAAATGGCTGCTCCATGAGGAAAAACGGATCCTCAGAAGACTTGAACAGCTGCCACTGCTCTGTGTTGGTACAAAGACTGCGGCACAACAGGTCAAAGCTGGGAATCGTTGCCTCAAGATACTGGCACTGGCGCCACTCGGACTCTGTGACCCAGCTAGGGTGTGGGGGATGTTCTGCTTCAGTCGACGGCTTCTCTTCGGATTCGCTGGAGTTGACAGAGGGAGGTTTGGCAGACGTTTCTTCACCGCTGTTTGCCTCTTCTTCAGCTGGTGATAATAAAAGATAGTTGTCATTTTAGTTAAAAAGTGGACAAGTTCATTATCAATAGGACACTGAATATCTTTAGATCTACAAATTATGAGTTTAATTGAGGTTGGCGGTTACTCAAAACACTGATAGCAAGGTGAAGTAAAATGAAGCAAACTAGGACAACGGCATAATAAAAAGGAAAAGAAACAGACAACACTAGACCTCTCATCAATCATTTCTAACAGAAAGATAAGAACAAAAATAATAAAATAGGGAGGGAAGAAGGAAAGCCAACAAATAAAAAGAAAATAGTTTGATGTTCTATACTGAATACATTTAAGTATGCCAAGAAACTGTTTCCAACATCCAACCTATTCATACTTCATGCTTTAATTTTTTAAGGCAGGCTTTTATTAGAAAAATATTGAGTATTTCTTTAAAATGGCCCTCAATCTGTAATAAGGTTTTTTTTAAATGCACTTTATGTTCAAGATGCAAAGAAATAGCATATGCAACAAGATTGGACTTATAGTACTAGGAAAAAAACATGATGGCATTCAAATACAAAACAAAATGAAAAATGCCTAAAATATGATTTTATCAAGAGACAGTAGATTCAAACAAACGATAAAATTATAGATTCTTAAACCAACAGTGAGTGATCAGATCAAAGATAGCCTTAGGAAAGTTACTCACAACTCTCCTGTTTGTGGACGGTCTTGTCTATCATACGAGCAGCAGCGATGTTTCCTTGAAGGAAAATCTGCCATTCATTCTCCTGAATAGCTTCCATCTCTGTAGTTTCATCCACAAACTTATTGTTGGCCTGGGAGAAAAGCAAGTGAAATTAACACTGAACTGAAAATATTGTAAAATCTTATACTTTTGCTTCAGGGCACTACAGAGGAAAAAGCGTTGCACAGGTTTAGCTGGGTAAAAGACAAAAGCTCAGGATAGCGTTGCACTCAAAATAGAAGGCACACAGGGTGGGTGGTTGGCGGGTGCTCTGGTGTGGCTTGCTCCTTCTTTCCTATCAAACATCTATCGTCTTTATCTCCCCTCCTTCATTTTTTGTGTTTGTTACTCCCTTGTAACACCTCTAATCTTCGGCACTTATATGACCGTATTGTGTTGGAAGTGCTGTTAAACTCTTACTAAAACTAAAGGCACACAGGATGAAAAATGTTATGCTGAACAATACAGCAGGAAATGCTCACCCTGTACAACATTGAAAGACAGAAAATTAAATAACTTCAACACCTCACACGCACGCCACCCAACTAACCAACCCTACTCGATGAGATCTCCAGGAGCTGTAAAGCAAGGAGAGCAAGGCAATGAACAAGAGGTACCCTGAGAAAAGCTGCAAGTACCCCCAGCCAGAGGTCATGCTAATGATGACAGCCATATCTTTATTTCTGGACATCCTTTCATCGTAGTACAAGCCAATGGAAAAAAAGTTTTATAGTGGAATGTCACATTACTATGTTATCTGTTGTAAAGAGGTGGAAAAGTATATTTCACAGACGACAGAAAAAAGTTACTGCATTTGTCTTTTTACTTCTTATATAATAATACTACTAATAATAATAATAGATAGCATTTGTATAGCGCAAATGCCCGCTCAACAGCAAGCTCTATGCGTTTCACAAGCTATACTATTACCCCAGCAGACTTGAGAGCATTCTGAAGCAAACTCAACTTCCTGGGAAGCATACAGTGCAAGCAGCTAAAACACTAACATACTGACAAGATCTTTCGCTGTCTATGGCATGAGACATTTGAGTCCTTTGTAAGAAGATTCATTCGGCTTCTGTATTAACTCTGCATAAGAACGTGACAAAGAGTATTATGTTCCTGGTTTGAACATGTAACCATTAAAAAAAATAGTCATTAGCTCTTCCACAGCTTGAAAAAGAAACTTGCCTTTCCTTCACAGCCCTTCCGTGGATGGTTGGCGGGTGCTCTTGTGTTGTTTGCTCCTTCTTTCTTATCAAACATCTGTTGTCCTTATCTCTCCGCTTTTTGTGTATTTGTTCCTCTCTTGTAACACTTCTAATCTTTGGCACTTTTATGACCTAATTGTGTAGCAAGTGCTGTAAAACTCTCACTAAAACTAAACTAAACAGCCCTTCCCTGTACCTGCATGATGCTGGAGCACAGCATGAAGGAATAGATGAGCTGATGGTTGGAGAAGAGGCCCACGGAGACGATTCGGTAGATGTTGTAGGTCAGTCGGTCAATCATGCCCCTCAGGTGAGCCATCAGCTCCTGCTTGTCTCCAGGGACACTCAGGGCCAGCTGTACAGGCTGAGTCTCTGCTGTCAGGGGGAATTAGAGGGACTTTAGCCTTTACCTTCCTCCTTATCCAGATCATTATGCATGGCCTTTACTTCCTCCTTATCCAGATCATTATGCATGGCCTTTACCTTCTTCCTTATCTTTATCACCATGCATGGCCTTATCTTTATTATTATGCATGGCCTTTACCTTCTTCCTCATCCAGATCATTATGCATGGCCTTTACCTTCTTCCTTATCTTTATCATCATGCATGGCCTTATCTTTATTCTTATGCATGGCCTTATCTTAGCAATTATGCTTATCTTTCCAATTATGCATGGCCTTTACCTTCTTCCTTATCTTTATCATTATGCATGGTCTTTACCTTCTTCTTTATCTTTATCATTATGTATGGCCTTTATCTTCTTCCTTATCTTTACAATTATGCATGGCTTTTACCTTCTTCTTTGTCTTTATTATTATGCATGGCCTTATCTTTCCTTATCTTTACAATTATGCATAGCTTTTACCTTCTTCCTTATCTTTATCATTATGCACGCATGGCTTTATCTTTATAATCATGCATGGCCTTATCTTTCCTTATCTTTACAATTATGCATGGCCTTTAACTTCTTCCTTATCTCTTTATCATTACGCATGGCCTTTACCTTCTTCTTTATCTTTATCATTATGCATGGACTTGATGCTCCGGGCGCTAGAGGGGCGGAGGACACCACTAGCAAAGGCCTGGCTGGAGGAGGAGCTGATGCTGGCGTTGTCATCTGACTCATGGCTGCTGTCAGAGATGCAGGTGGCAAACATGCCCTGGAACCAGGTGAGGGAGTACTGATACATCACGTCCACATTGGCCAGCTCCGCAATGACGAAGTACAGGACAGAACCTCGAGTGGCAACCTGGGAAAAAAAAAGGAGCATTTAATTTGATATGTGTCTGACAATAAGGTAGTGAAAGGAATTAATAATTCGGTTTTGTACGTTGATAATAAATTGCTGATAAAGACGAACTGGCAGGGAAACGCCAACACTCCTCTACAAAAATTATAGATACTGAACTACTTTTGGCATATCAAAAGCCATAATTAACTCAAGATACATATTATGGAGGTAAAGGCAAGAGAAAATGGGGGAGACCTAAGAAAAGATAGGAACATGGCAGAGAAATCTTAATCTGACCCAAAACAACTCAGGCAGGCAGATTGGCAAGAGACAGCATTTTATTTCAGAAAAGTCAGAGAGGCAACGTCTAAGAGTAAGTTTTAGTAAGAGTTTTACGGCATTTGCAACATAATTAGTTCATATAAGTTCTAAAGATTAGAGGTGTTGTATGGGAGCAAGTACACTAAAAAGAAGGAGGAGCAATAACATTGATAGGTAACCATAGATACAGGGTACAAGGAAGCGGATCCAATAAATTGGAAAAAAGAATATTAATCCGCAGACAGGAAAAAGAGGCTAAAACAGCACCTGGACATGGATGGCTGGTGCCTCTATAAATAAATCATTGTTGATCAAGGTCAAGGTTGATAGGTGTTTGACAGGAGAGGAGTAAACAACACCAGAGCACCCTTCCAACCACCCACGCCCAACTAATGGAAGCTAAGAAGAAAGTGTAAATAACAAATTATTGTTGTATAGTGCCTGTTTAGAACAAAAAAATGACCCTCTGGAGTAATTTCACCATAGTGAGGACAATAATTTGAATTTTTCAGGATTTAAAAAATGATGTACACATACTGGCAGATAACGTTTCCGTGCTAAATTTAGACTTTTCTCCGTCTCTTCCGATTCTGCTACTCGTTTGTAGATTTCTTGTGACTTGTCCTTGCTCTGTTCCAGGGTCACAATCAGATCCTGATCATCCAACAAGTGGCCTGCTCCACACACAAGAAAGACAAAACAACTTCTGAATACTTTTTACATTTTTACAAACATCTTATAAAATTAGTAGATATTGCACATAATCCTGTAGAACATGAAAACTTAAACATTGTAACAATTTATATAATGATGAAAAAACGCTTTAAATACAAAAACTTCAAAACTTTAGTTGCTTAACAAGAGAGAAAATAAGATTATCGGAAATAGATATACTTATTGATCTGTTGAAGAGTGTATTGTGCTGGGGACAAAAAGTGATTCTAACTGGGTTTCTGCTTATCTAACCAGCGTGCTACAGACACACCAATATAAATTCAGATGTGACAGTACACAAGACCTACAGGACAGAGCCTTCTGAATTCTGACAAATCTGAAGCCAAAACTCAATTGTTTTCCCAAGATCCACAACAGTCCCTTTCCAAAATGGGCACACTACTTCTGGACCACCATAATTCTCTTCCTGGTCTTGAAGGGTAGACTAGTACTGCAGAAAACATTTTTTGTTGAAGACAAAACATGTATCAAGGAATTACAACCCAGCAAAGACAAAAAAGATGCAAATACCAAAAGCACACAAATATAACATCAAGCCAATCGTGAAATTTCTTTTCGTTTCAGTTACACTGAGCAGGCATTGTGAAATTTCTACTCTGCTACATCAAACAGGTCAAAGGAATTACAAAAACTAATCACAAAATTATTCCAAACATATTTGACACATAACACTTCAATAAAACTATTTATTGTCAAATTCCACTCTACTTACGCAAATGCTAGACAGTGTACTCTTGTATCATTTGTATTAATTTGTGGACAAAAAAAGTGAAAAGGTTTTCCACAAACTGAGCTAGTATACTACAAACTTGGCTGCAAAACCAACATCTCACCGGCAAATAGCCTTTGGATATTTTTGCATTGACAACAGATACAGACATGTGGATTATAAGTCAATGTAAATGTATATTAGACTCTCATATCGACCTGTGCACACCACAGTGCAATAAACACACACTGACTTCCAGTAAGGCATGCATGTTACAAACACACTGAACACAATTTTCATTGTAGGCCCATACAAACATGTAGTTTCAATTGCATGCTCATAGCATCATCTATAATAGTCAATTCTATTGGCACACTAAACTGACATATTCAACGAAATAATAATATGCAGTATCCTAAGAAGAAACATTGGACTAATGAAATAAGATAGAGCTTTTTATATCCTTTAAACTCATTCCACAGCAACTGCCTTTATAGATGGATGTGGAAAAGCTTATGTGAAGGCAATACAATTTGACAAATTATGTCTCTTGAATGTCATTTGGATTACACAGCATAAAAATGTAAGCACATTATGAAAAGCCAGATTTGAAGTGTAAAACAATCTCATATAGGAATCAGATCACACAGCCAAAACAGTCTGCGAAAATAATTTTTTTACACTCTTTTCAGACCAGATTCTCACCTATAAAGAGTGACAAACCAAAGTACTGATGAATATGCTCTCAGTATGTATATTTGAGTCATAATTGAAGTACATGACAAGTTTTTTTTAGTAAAAGCTAATGCATGTGCAACAGGCCAACCTATCAAAAAGGCATACACAGTAATAATAATAGTTTGTCCATCATGGAACAGATGGAGACCTGTAATATCCAAGACAGAAGAGAAGGTATAGACCTTCATAAAGAAAGTAAAGGAAGGAACAAATACTGAATAAAATGTAATACTTATTGCAACCCGCAGCTCAACAGACTGCCCTCCAAATGGTAATTGTTCTGAAAGGTACTTTTTCATCCCCTCATGATAAAGAAACTAAGTGACTAAAGACACATTAATATTGATCTCCATATCTGGTCTACTTAGAGGTATTAACACTTTGCCGCCTCATCTCGCCGATCAGCGATTTTACCACCCAGTTTCTTTGGATTTTCCCCAAAATGGCTTTGCCTTTGATAGCAAGAGTTTTTGCTATATGAGCCTTGTGATGGCAAAGTGTTAAAGTGCACATTTTTTTACAAACACCTTCATGCCACAGTGAACAGATCAGCAACAAATCAAAGTGAAACAAATGTGTAGGAACAATTTGTGACCTTGTCAAGAAAAACATGATATTAAGAAATAAGTTTCATAACACTCACGGCAAACAACTATTAACTCAATCAGATACCATGGTCGAGTTAATTCAGTAAAGACATTGTATATTCCTGGCATGGGAACCACAAAACAGCTTGAATTCTATGTAATACTTTTCCACCACCTTCTGATCCCTTTCAGTACAAAGATTCTGCTCACAACTACTGACAGTTTCAGTCCAATTTTTACTATATCTTTATATGAGGGCTGACTACAACAGACCCAACTCTAATGGAAATCTGTCCAAGAAAATCATCTGTTAATACAACCCTTCTGGGTTGTTTTTTTCTATCTATATTTTCACGACACTGTCCAAGATATTCATCTAAGACAACCACTTTTCTCATTGACAATAGGTGACCATCTTTGACAATTTCAACAGTAGCTGGTTCATGAACCTCCAAAACTGCAAAATGACATTACATATTTAGCTTGTTGAAGCCAAAAAGCCTGTGGATGTTATTGCATCAACAGCAGACACTGGTGTGTGTGGGTTATGAGGCAACACAAAGACAAATCATGCTCTCAAATGATCAGTGACAAGAAAGCATAAAATTACCTGCCACTGAATCTTCATCTCCTATTGATGGAAAGATTTAGTTAGTTAGACATTCAGTTGGAGGATAGTGATCTCAAGAGTACTTCTGTAACGACTTATACTCACACTCAAAGACTATGTTTTGACAAAAATTATTTACCTCAACACTCTAAAATAGATGTTATATGGTGGACATCATGAGAGCACCAAATACTTTTCAATAAGTATTCATTCCCTCTCAAGAGAAAAAAAAGAGTAGAACCACAAGCTGACAAAAAGTACAAAGATGATTGTAAAAGACAGTATAAAAAAGTAATCACAGACAAAGAACCTCAAATGTAAAAGATTCTGGTTACCTAACATTCTAATCCTGAAACTTCACAGATAAAATGAACAAATGAAAAATTCTGAAATCTGGTTAATATTAAATGAGATGCACCAGAAACAAACAAGAACTAAGGTAATGTAGTAACCTTACATAGATGCTACCATGCCAGAAATTCCAAAGTGGGTCACATAAACCAATAAAGAATTACCCATACTTTAAGGAAATGACTCTCCATTGCAAAAAAGTTAAAGCAAAGACTAGTTTCCTATGTTACTTACAGTTTAAATTAGAAGTTCACAACTGTAGACAAGACAGTCACCATAAGACAATCAAGTGCTATGCAACTAACTAGAAAAGAGTCAGTTCTTGTCAAAAGAAGGTTTGCAAACATACCGCATTATGAATAAAAGAGTGATTTAAAAAAGTAGATTTTCTAAACAGGACTGATGACTTTCACTTTATACCAGTGAAGTAAATTTCTGACGGGTGATCCCAAGAAATCAGTTGCTTCTACAGAAACTGATCACATTTGTGCAAAATCTGTGTTCTCTCAGTTTTGATTCCGTATTGTATTTTGGTACGTGTTTTACACCACTCGCAACTGCATAAGGTCATTTGAGCACGCTGGACACACCAAACATTTTCAGTTGGTAGGAAAATTTTGAATTTTGCTCAGGTTGCAGCCGAGGCCTACTCTTATCGATTTTGGACCATCAAGGGATCTTTAACGTGCGCGACTTGCACATGGGACCTCCGAGACTTTTCTCCCTTGTCCGAGAAGGCTAGGTGTAGATCTTACCTATCATAAGATAGGGGTGTAGCTGTAGGCTGCAAATGGAGTCAGGAGCCCAGAAGGCGTATTGTATGTCAAGCAACACTAAAAACAAGTGGTGCACAAGAGTCATTATTTCCATTACAGTAAACAACTTAAAAATAATATTATTTTTATGCTCACAAGACCCTCGCATATTCAAAAGCAGTCGATTCTGGTTGGCTGCACGATTCAACTAAAGGAAATTAAGAAAAAGAAAGATAAAAGGCAAAACCTTCCAGACACATTCACCAACCACCAGTAACAAAAGAGTACAGAAATATTATATCAATTTATATAAAGCACAGGTATGTTTTCCCTGCAGCTCTCACCTTCACTACTCTGCAGCATTGACAAGGACTTGTCCTCCAAGTCTCTCAGAGTCTGTCTGTCATTGGCGATACTCTCCAGCAGTTCTGTGCGCTGTTTCTCCAGTATTGGGCGCTCCTATAAGTTTATCATTAGAAAATTCTATATTCTTTAGTAAAATGCCTCATACAACAGTACATAATTAGAAAAATACAAAATTCTTTAGTAAAATGCCTCATTCAACATTATATCCTATGAAAAATATGCAGTTCTTTAGTGAAATGTCTCATACAAAAGTTTATCATTTGAATAGTTTTCATTTTTTGGGGTGAAATGCCTCAAACAACAGTATTTAATTAGAAACATACTAAATTCTTTAGTAAAATGCCTTGTACATTAGTATATCATTTTAAAAATACTTAATTCTTTAGTGAAATGAATACTCAGATCTTTAGTGAAATGCCTCACACAACTGTATATCATTAGAAAAATAGCCAATTGAGGATATTTATTTCTACTAAGAAAAAAAATGCAAGAAAATCTTTGAACTGCTCAAACACAATTGCATTATATCGAAAGGCAAGTATAACATTTCAAAATCTTTTTAACCCTTCAGCTATATGAAAAGTGAGTTCAACCACTGTCTTTTCATCTTTAAAGAGAGAATATAACCTTTGTATTTGAGCTTCATGAAACTAAACCCTGAAAAAATCTACCTACCACTGTACAAAATCAGACGGCATCATAC